CGCTGTTGGCAAAGCGCTGTAAAACACGCCAACCCAAATATAGCCCCCATAGTATGCACTACCAAAGACGCGTGACGCATGGACGAGTGGAGTGAGGATAGATGTTTACGGAAACCTCACAGGTTGAGAAATGTAGGAGATTGCCGGACACATAGACGTGTTGAGTGATTATAGCTGTATACTGAAACCCCACGGAAAGGGGAGGTTTGAGATTGCCAGACACATAGACGGGTTGCGTGGGGATAGCTGCTGGAACCCCACGGGTTGAGTGATGTTGGAGTGCCGGACACATAGACGCGTTGAATGAGGATAGACACATATTGAACCTCACAGGTTGTTTGTATTGGAGATTGCGAGACACCTAGACGTGTTGAGTGAGGATAGCTGCATACTGAAACCTCACAGATGGATTAGTTTTGAGTTTGCCAGACACATAGGCGCGCTGAGTGGGGATAGCTACATGCTGAAACCTCACGAGTTGAGTGATGTTGGCTAGAGCCAAACACATAGACGCTTTTAGTANCCGGACACATAGACGCATTGAGTGAGGATAGACATATACTGAACCTCACAGGTGATTTGTGATGGAGATTGCCGGACACAGTCTTGTTGAGTGAGGATAGCTGCATACTGAAACCTCACGGATGCATTGGTTGTGAGTTTCCCAGACACATAGACGTGTTGAGTGAGTATAGCTGCATACTGAAACCTCACGGATGCATTGGTTGTGAGTTTCCCAGACACATAGACGTGTTGAGTGAGTATAGCTGCATACTGAAACCTCACGGATGCATTGGTTGTGAGTTTCCCAGACACATAGACGTGTTGAGTGAGTATAGCTGCATACTGAAACCTCACGGATGCATTGGTTGTGAGTTTCCCAGACACATAGACGTGTTGAGTGAGTATAGCTGCATACTGAAACCTCACAGATGGATTAGTTTTGAGTTTGCCAGACACATAGGCGCGCTGAGTGGGGATAGCTACATGCTGAAACCTCACGAGTTGAGTGATGTTGGCTAGAGCCAAACACATAGACGCTTTTAGTAAGGATAGCTGCATGTTGAGACCTAACGGGTTGAGTGACGTTTGCGACTGCCGGACACATAGACGCATGGAGTGAATGAAGAAAGCTGCATACTGAAACCTCACAGGTTGATTTGTATTGGATTGCCGGACACATAGAAGCGTTGAGTGAGGATAGCTGTATACTGAAAATCCACAGCAGTAGCTAAAGTGAGGGGACAATTCGAGAATGCAGTACACATAGACCCGACCCCCAACCCGTATCCGAACCCCCTCTGACAAATAATGGCCATGCGCCTCCCCCCCCCTTTACTTCCCCCAGAGGATGAGGAGGGTACAGTCCAAAGTAAGCACAAGCTTATTCGATAAAGGCTGACCATTTGACTACGTGCACAGTCATCTTTGCACGTAGTCAAATGGTCAGCCTTTATCGAATAAAGCTTACCTAAGGTGAACGGCTTTATCCCTATTATTGGTGCGACATTAAAAACATACTAAAGTTCCCCATTGGGCGGTGGAGGGCTTAGAGCCAAGAAACCCCAAAACTCTCCTCAGTGAGATCCAAAATGGATCGGACGGACGGTGGAGGGGGGGTGGGTGGTCGTTGCTTGAAGTGGATCAATAAAACATAGAGCCATCAAAGCAAAGCTTATTACTCACGTCGAGCAAGCTGGACGACCAGACCAACCACGCAAAAGCTGCGGAGCCAGACGTGCGGCACGCACAACGCATTGTTTTCGATTGGAGAGAGAGGCGAGTAGAAAGCAGTAAGGAGTTGTTGGCCAAACTTTCGGCAGATAGGTCTACTCGGGAGCGTAAGTGGGGTAGCAACCCATGGTGGAGCTATTCGATATACATTTGGGGGTACTCGTAGCATAGTATGACGGGATATCTTCGGTACGTACGTGCGGAAATAATTAATTGCAGTGATGAGATGCGGAGGAATCAGAACTTTCTGGGTATTTTCCTTGGAAGCGAGAAGAGTTTGATGGAGGTTCAGAGAGATCCGTTTGGTAGTTTGAGCGTGATGTGCGTGACGGGTGCTTGATCCCGTGACAAATTTGCGAGCGCGAGCACTCCCCCGAAGAATACAATACGTTTTCCACCACGTTTTCTACCCATCTACGGCCCGTCATGGCTGAGCTGCTCTACACTCCTATNAGATAGGTCTACTCGGGAGCGTAAGTGGGGTAGCAACCCATGGTGGAGCTATTCGATATACATTTGGGGGTACTCGTAGCATAGTATGACGGGATATCTTCGGTACGTACGTGCGGAAATAATTAATTGCAGTGATGAGATGCGGAGGAATCAGAACTTTCTGGGTATTTTCCTTGGAAGCGAGAAGAGTTTGATGGAGGTTCAGAGAGATCCGTTTGGTAGTTTGAGCGTGATGTGCGTGACGGGTGCTTGATCCCGTGACAAATTTGCGAGCGCGAGCACTCCCCCGAAGAATACAATACGTTTTCCACCACGTTTTCTACCCATCTACGGCCCGTCATGGCTGAGCTGCTCTACACTCCTATCACACAGAACTGAGCCACCCGAATGATCGATCACGCTAGCGTATGACACGTCGTCTACGAGATTCGCGGTCGAGCTTAGTTTAGAGTAGCGGCGGGTATTAACAACCACCTAAGCCACCCCCCGCGCCAAAAGCTCGTTCTTCGACAGCAAAACCAACTACGAATATATTTAGGTATCGAACGATAGCTAACATCACCACCTATCTGTCAAAAAAGAAAAAATGTCGATAATGACGAGGCACAACTGTTTCCGTTTGCCCAAGTTGAAGTTGAAGTCTCGAGGGTAAAACGGCCTGGGGGGTATTAACAACCATTTTGACGATTGGTTGATTGCGGGGGTTTGAAACCGTTTCAAGACCCAAGATTTGGCACACATGCACCCAACACAATGGTCGTGAAGAAAAACCAAGTTTTTCTTGTTTCGGTGCCTTCAGGGGATGAAAATTGGATATCCCTGGGTTATCGACGCAGATGTGGGGGGCGGGATTTGCCTCCGTTTTCCTGTACGGCGTGATATGTGCATCGAAAACGAATAAAAATAATAGGTTTGGGGCATAAACGGGCTGCTCCTGTCAATGGCCGGCCACCAAAAAAAAAATCACACCGAATTTGTTACGGTCAAAAAATAGCTGTTCAAAAATGGGTATATTTTCGGTATTTTGTGCGCCGCTACGGCAAGAATCAGCCCCGTACACCACTAACCCTGGATAGTCTATTCTGGACTGTTCATACATCCCCACGACATAAATTTTGGAGGGAGCATTCAGACATGAATGAGAAACATTTGTCGCAAAAAAAAAAAAAAGGAGGTCACCCGGGGACAGAATCACGACATCCATCCCCGGTTTCCGGTCAAACGCCCCCCGCCGCCCCCCCCCGCCCCATTGGCATGCTATAACGCCACCGTTGCCTACGCTACTATCAACAAGCAACGTGCAACAGGGTACGTATCCACTCCACGTAAAAACTGACGACTCTTGAGCTTGTTTTGTCCTACTCTGAGTGTCGTAGAAAACAAACCAAAGAGAGCCTCATAGGCGGCTACACGTCAACAACGGGTGTCGGCGTCCGCTGCCATCCAACCCGGGATAAGGAGGGTGCCGGCTGGCGAACGAGCAAAGCCGCCCCTTGTGCTGCAGCCGCTCCTTGATCACGGCCCGGTGAGGCCCCTCTTCCAGCCCCTGTTCGGCCGCGCCCCCCCCCAACGCCCCCCGCCCCCTCCCTTGCCCGGTGGCCTCACGTCCCTCCCCCATCCCGCGCCCACCTCGCCCTCCTCGCCCTCCTCGCCCTCCTCACCC